TTTTACCATAATTAGGCTATTGTGGACGAATTTTGCATTATTCTTAGATATTTTTCCTAGTTTACTTAGGATTCTATAGAATAGTATAAATACTTTATTCCTTATTGTAAAATATCACAACTCTCATATTATTGAATATTATTCGTGTGGCATTAATTGCTTTCTCTCGTTCTTCGTTGAACAACTTGTGAACTTATCAAGATTAATCTTGTGGCATTCAAATCAACTGGGTGAGATTCAATTAAATTGCGTAATCAAGAGGTCCGCATATTGTCGGCGATTTGGGTTGCTTGGTTCCAGTTTATTGGGTTTAATCCAAAACCTTGTCTTTGGCTTTCTTGGGTTTGATTCTCAATTTGTTGTGGATTTGGTAGTGATCGCGCTAAGCGGGTTCACATCATATTTAGCTCACAATAATGAAGAGAGGTGCACCGAGCTTCCAATTTGATTTCTCGAGAATGGTTGAATAAGAGATTCAAGTAAAACATAGGTCAATTTGATTAAATTGGCCTTGGTTGGAAATTAGAAATATGAAAATTATATTTGGGTTAAGGCTAATTAGTTAGCAAATTTATTTAAAAAATAAAATAATTTGATTTATTTAAGATAAAAAAATAGGAATATTTGATTTTTATTCGGTTTTCTAGTTCTAGGTCTAGAATCGAGAACCGAATCAAACTCGTCGGTTCTTGATTTAGATTCCGTTCGAGTATCTAACTTAAGAAGAATCGCTCGATTCAATTTGATTCAGGTCTGGTTCGATTCGGAACGATTAGAAAGTTTTGTCCAGACCTAAATAAAGTACATTTCTCCCTTTGGATCCTCATCATAATCCCACTTCCTTGACCATCATTTAATCTTAAAAACTTGTCAACATTAAAGGTGTGAGATTTAAGTTTAGTAGGACTTACATAACTTGGTGCAACCTCCGCGCACGCGTGCGCACACACACACACACACACACACACATATACAGTGATACAAAAGAATTCGACATTTCATGTAGATGAATACCGATAAATTAATGATTCCGAAGAATCTCTTGGGATCTTTGATATGGCATGTATACACCTCTTTGTTCATAACTTCAAAAATTCTAGTTTATATTAAATATTTAGCATTGCCTACTTTGATTTTCTTGAAATATAAATGAACAAATTGTGTAGAAACCTTTCTCTTTTCCACCTTTGCTATTGTATTGAATTTAACTTAACTACAAACAGATTTTTGAGAGAAAAATAAATATAAATTCATATTTGAGGGAGGATGAGGTAAAAAATGATATTCCCCTTCTTGTGATCTCCATTTTTAGTGAAAATCTAAATGTGAGAGCTATATCGTCATTAACCTGGTTAAATTGAGCACCCCATTTGACAAACATTATTTTAAAAGTTCTTTAATTCTCATACTTATATTCAATTGCACATTTACACAATAAAATATTTTTCTTGTAAATCAAAAGCATTTTCATACTTTTTAACTACACATTCTCAAAAAATCATTATTCAGAACTCCATTTTCTATAAATAATAATTGTCAAATAGGGATGAGTCTTAAGTAGAAATTTAACGAGTTTCATCCCAATGCTTCCTGTAAATTTTTCTAAAATTTAGAGGTAATCTTGGGTCTATATATGAAACAATGGATACAGAGTCCCCATGCAATCTAACTATCTCTCTAATGTATTGTTGTACCAATCGATCCATACTAAGCGTCATTTTGACTGGCAAAAAGTGAGATGATTTTGTCAATCGATCAACTATTACGCAAATGGTGTTGCTTTCCTTTACTGACTTTGGAAAACCAACAACAAAATCCATTGAATATGTTCCTATTATCATTCTGGTATTTTAAAAGGATTTAATAATCCTAAAGATCTCTGATATTCTGCTTTTACTTGTTAACAAATCATGATTTATTGGCAAAAACTCCAATACTTTCGAAGGTGTTGATACATCTTTGTACCACCCAGATGAATAGTATACAGAGTAGTAAGTTAACGATTTGAGCACATCAAGAAAAAGAACTATGAAGTCTTTTAAAAAAATAAAGATAAATTAACATCTTTTAAAAATTACACATAAGTTACATAACTGGTAAGAACTATAAATTCTTCAATCAGGACTAATTACAAAAATGAAGCAACTTTCTTCATTTGGGTCCTCTGCAATCCATTTTAATCCCACTTCCTCCACCATCATTTAATCTGAAAAATTTATCAGCATATGATTTAATGAGCACCGATACCTGGCTTATGTTAAGGACTAGTGACATGGATGAAAAATGGAGGAAAATAAATTATTTGTGTGATTTGCAGCCTATCTCTATGAATGTCTACTAACAAAAATAATTATTCCATCCAATTAACTTGTTATAATTGTTCTTAATGTTTTTTTAACTCAAAATATTATATAAAAACATTTACATGGTGATTCAAACTCGTATTGCCTATGTGAAATTCCTTGCTTCGTTAAATTTTTATAATCAAATTTATTTAAACTTAACATTTTAAATCTATAGACTTTTAAATAACTCATATCTTTGACTTTCATTACGTTAAATGGACCGAGCCTCCATAGCTGTCTTAAATGGGCCATACCAACCAATTTAATAAAAAAAAAAAAAAAAGAGAAAATTTCGTATCTAAAAGATTAAGTATGTCCCATTTCAAACTAAGAAACAATGTTTAAAACTTCAAAAATCAGATATTTATTAAATTTTATTTATAAAACAATTAATTAAAATATATTAATGTTACAATTATATACTATTTAGTACAAATTATCAAATTAATCGATCACAAATTATTTCTTGATTACAATTCAAAAAGTTTATAGGATTCAAATTATTTCAGGGTCACAAATAAAAAATTTTATAGGCCACAATTTAATCATCGATTACAAATAAAAAAAAATTTTATTGGTCAATTTATTTATTGGTCACAACACATTTTATAAATCATGATTCAAATTTTTAGGTCACAAGTCATCGATTATAAATTACAAATTTTATATGTCACAACTTACTTTCGATAACTATCAAATTAATTGATTACAAGTTATTTCTTAATCACAAAAGAATAAATTGTGAGTCATGATCACATTTTTTAGGTTAGATATTCTTTATTGATTACAAATTAACCAATTTATTGGTTGAGCACAAACACCTGCACCCGCCACGATCGTCACCGCCACTAGCACTGTCACAACTACACCAGCATTGCTGACATCACCAGCAATGTCATCGTCGACATCACCACCAAACCACAACCATCACCACCGCGACGAACACTACAAAGATCAGCGCTTCAGAGTGGAGTTGTAAAGGCTGTTGCGACACTTAAATTAGTGTTGTTTCCATTTTCAGATCGACGACCCCTAAAACCATGACGATCATCGCAACGAACACCGCATAGCAGTGTCCAGATCAACACCTCACAACGGCGCTATGAACTTTGCTACGGGACTCAAATTAGCGTCATTTCCATTTTCAAATCAACACTGCACCATGCAAGGCTGCGATGTGCTATCTAGGGGAGATGGTACCTCGTGAGAAGGCACACTGTCTTGAATTGTTGCTACAGAAGCAACATCTTGAATGGCAATGCTTGGAATCGCCTAGAACTGTTATGAATGATGATACAATGCTGCTGCGAATGGTAGCACAGCGTCGCTGTTGTAAAAATTGGAGAAGAGAGAGTGTCGTGTGTAAACAAAAGGTAGAGAGAGGAGGATCACTCATCGTTGCTATGACGACATCGTTGGTAGGGAAGAGTGATGCCTCCTCAGCGTTGATGAAACCGTTATGGTGATCTCTCGGTAGTGTAAAGAGAGCGAAGAGAAGATTTGCTGGAGTGAATTATCGTGAAGAGTCACTAGAGTTAAGCATATGGGGAGTGGCTGCGCCTTGGAGATATTGTGAAAATGAAAATACTTAATAGCCTTAAAAATTGTAAATTAGGTTTTGTGGGAGTGAGAGTCGAGTTAGGATGGATAGGGTAGAGTACAGTTGTTAAATTAAATTAATTTAATAATAATATTATTAAGGCCCTGTTTGAGCTACATTTTTTTCAAAAAAATACATTCTTCAACAGTGCTTTGATATCATTTCAACCATATATTCTTTAATAAAATAATATTACACATAAATCCAAAACATTTCCTTATTTCTTAACCACACATTTTCCATCAATACACTATTCAAAAATACATTTTCATTCCAATAATGTGGCTCAAACAAGGGCTAATATTAAATATTAATTATAATCTGATTTTTTTTTTCTTTTAAATTGTAACTCTTAGTTATGAATTTAGATTTTGAAAGCACTTTGTCCCTTTAATTTTCAAATATAAATTTTGGGACTTTACAGTTAACACTATGAATATATCTGTAGATATTTTTTTCTTGACTTAAGAATATAAAATTTGGGAGTTTTCAATTAACTAGAGTGGGCAAAAATTTACGAGATTCTATTTAATTCATCTGTTTTTTTTTAAATATTAAATTCTATTTTTTTACAAAGGATTTGTTTGATGCAAATTTTTTTAGAATAAATTTGAATGTACAATTAAAAATAAGAAAAAAAATGGAGTCCATGTTTAAAATTATTTAAAACGAAAGAATTTTTATTAAAAATATATTTGAAAATAGTGGTGCATTTGATTACTAATATTTTCCATGGAAAATGTGTTTTTATCATCCAAATTCCTACTTTTCTGCTATTTGATTGTCATTTTTTTCATGAAAAATATTTTCCTACTTTTAGTCATTGTGACCATATTTTCCTCAAAATCAAGGAAAATATTTTCTTTAGGGGAGTAGAATTTTATTTTTCAAAAAATTCACTCTTTTTCTCATTTATCCACACTCCCATCTACCCGTCAATAAAAAAATGGATAAATATACACATAAATTCTAGACAATTCAATTATCTAAAATTTATTTTCTTTCTATGCAAATTTCATACTTGTAATCAGACCACCCTAAATGAATTTTAAAGAATGGGTGCAAAGGCCCCCAGGGCATATCTCCCAGTGGCAAAGGGGAGGACGGATAGGGTTCAGCGTGGCAGTGTGTAGAGTTCGATTCCCCGCAAGGTGGAATTGGCTTTGTTGCAAGCGGGAGTTACCATATGGGTTAACAGCCTTGGCCTATCCATATGCTCTCCACCCTGACTCCTGGGAGGCACATCCTGCGATTTACCTCCTCCACAATGGCCCTGGGCAAGGTCGGTGGAAGCCCTTAATGTTGGGGTTCAACCTTTAAAGAATGGGTGCAAAGAATTCTCTCTCTTGACCAATCAAACAGAACGCAACTCTTAACGCAAAACCCCATGGGCCACAAGTGGTTGTCTAGATATGTAATGTTCTGCAAGCAATAAATATATAAATACACACAGATTCAGAAAGAGAAAGAAAAAATAAAATACCCTTTGCCCACTCCCACAGAGCCTCTCCACCCTTGAGTTTCTACCCTGACTATCCACCAAAAAACTCCCCCAAAAGGCCACCAAACCACCATGAGAATACGGAAGAACGCTAAAATTTGTCCATTGTTGTATGCAGCTTCTTCACTGAAATCTGGAAATGTTCTTCAAACCCATATTTGTAAATTGAATCAGTCCCCTTGGGACGTGATGAGCTTTTCGCCACCATCATCTCCTCCGCCACCACCGCCTCCACCGTCGTTCAGGGTTAGTTAAGTTTATCTATAGTGACTTGACTTTAATTCTGTACACAGATCTGTTGGAAACCATTTTTTATTCTTGTCAAATTTACTTTTATTTTTGCTTTTATTCCTTTTTCTTCTAGGGTTTTCTGAAAAACCACCATTCGAGTTCATTCAAAACTATAAATGAAAGGGTTTCTGTCGTGTATTTGGTCCTCGGAATTTGAATTTTCACTGTATTTGTTTAGCTTGGATGTTTCTATTTTTTCGACAGAGAATAATTTTTATGCGGATCAGTGGAACTGATAATTTCGCGAGAAATGGGAGCTTGGGAGAACTTAATGCAGCTTTTCATAGGTAATCCTTTTATTTTGTGAATAATTTGGATTATCTTACAAATTTTCCAGCTCTTTATTGATGCAGAAAATAATTAGGGCTCTGCAATCAGCATTATTGATTTTTTAAAATTTCGAGTGAAATATCTATCTGGTTTTTTATCAATAGTGCTGCATCACTGAAAATTGCTGCGGAGAATGAACTGTTTGGAGAAAGCAAAGCTGCAAAATGGGATAATTCCAATCAGGGGCGGAGCCGGGATTTTAGTTTAGCGCGGGCTAAATTTTTTCGGCATTGAATGTTGAGGTTTTGGTCATGGAAGCAATGACGATAAAAAAATAAAATAATAGTACGATAATACTAAAAACAACATAATTTATATATTTCACTTGTTTCTTGCGAGTTTTAATACTCTGAGCAAACCGGAATTGTGACGCTAGAATAGGGACGAATTCTCTCGCTCACAGACAAAGGGTTGGATTGATTCAAATGAATGAATGGGTTTGGGTCAATTGAATTTTGAGGAAATGGATCTAATAGGGCTTCTCTATCTGAGCTAGACATCGAATATTGGAAAAAGACTATGGATATTCACTACTATTGATATCTGAAACTTTAGAAGTGGGTTTAAAAAAAAAAAAAAAATTCTGCCCAAAAGTCCAGTGCGGGCATGCATTGGCTCCGCCCATGATTCCAATGGTGAAGGTGAAGGCGACGGCGGCAATGTGGGTGGCTCTGCCCATGAGAACTCAGAGGAAGGGCCTGAGAATCCCGGGTTAAAGAAGGAAAAGCATATTGTATGTTGTGTCAAGACTGATGGGAAAGCACGGAAATGCAAGATGGAGGCGGCCGAAGGGAACTCTTTGAACAAGCACCACTTATCTCAAGTGCGAAACTGCAACTCGTCTCTTCCAACGATGAAGAAACAAGATAAGGTGGTGGCTGACTCTCCGCTCAAGCCACTGGGCAAGAAGGCAGCTTCAACGTCAAATTCAAATTCGAATGAATTTTACTACTATTCAGGTTTTGGACCGCGTTGGGGCAAGAAAAGAGGCGAGAACAATCGAGCTAGTCGTAGTACTCTAGTAGAGCAAGAATGTGAAACTTTACCATCCACATTCTTTGAAATTGACAAAGAGAAATTTGAGATCGAGTATGAGGAAGAGAAGGAGGATGATGAGAGTAGGAGGAAAAGAGCTCGAAAGCCAATTAAATTAAGGTCAATAAAGTCTCTGATGTGATGGAGGAAACCTTGCGTAAGAACTAAAAATGTGTGGTTTTTAATAATTTTTTGACCCTTTTAATATTATACTTTGGTTTAATGCATTTTTTTTTGATGTTTTGAATATTTAGGTAGTTTTGATATTGATTGAAAATGTAAAAAATCGATTACCTATAGCTAATGTGACTTGGAAAAGCTACTTGTCCAGGGTCACATGGCCCCTGGATGAATAGGGCTGCCATGTGGCCCTTGACGTATAGCAGGTCCCATGTGACTTTTTTGCTATTTCATTAATTAGATTAAAAGCTTGTTTGATTTGGTCAATTTTTCATGAAAATTTTTCATTTTTCATCATTTTCGTTGTTTGATTGCAAAAATTTCCCCGAAAATTCGATTTTCCCCGACAATTCGTTTTCCTCCCCCCGCCCCACGTGAGTGATTTTCCTTGGTTTTGTGAAAAACCAATTCCCATGGTTTGAGTGGGAATTTGGGGTTTTCAGCTTTTTTTTTAAATTTTTTAAATTTTCGACAATGGAAAAAAATCCTATTCACAATTATAACAAATTATATCCCTTTAATTGACAATTTTCATGAAAAATAAAGCCAAACGAACACCAAAAATTTCAACATTTTTTAAGTGAAAAATTATACCAATCAAACATATTTAATTGACAATTCCTAGTAAAACAAGTTTCAAGCAATTCAATTCCCTAGAATTCATTTTCTTTTCATCCAAATTCCATTCTTGCAATTAAACGGACCCTAAAAGTTATGAAAAAGCAATTTTTAATAGTTGCCGCTAATTAATTAAGGCACTTTCATGTTTATTACATATTACCCATCTTGGGTCGTAGCTATCATCAATAATAATTTATGACACTTTAACATTAGTCAATAATCAATTGAAACACTTTCACGTTAATTACATGTTACCCATCTCGGTCATATTGTCTTTGCTTAACTAAACAGTTTAAAATTTTTATAAATCAATTGCTTAAAAAATGACTGGTGCATTTTGACAAATTTACCCCTTTTTTGTAAAATACCTTCCTATGATCATGAATTGAAATAAATAGGAAACTATTTGTACACACTGCCATTTTAAAGAAATTTGATAGAAAAAACCTAACGCCAAAGTGAAGAACTCAGTTCAAGAAAAGCGAAGTTCCACAAAAATCCTGGAATGCAGGGCGCTCCCGTTAAGGGTCCAACTGGGTGCAATTGCCGCCATTGAACCCTTAATTTTTGACATTTTAACGAAAAAAAATCCTCATAATTTTGGATCATAATTACCACAATTATTTTTTACACAATTTTGCCTCGTCTCCAGTGAACTATAATCTTGGGTCAACCCTCGTTGGTGGCAGGAAAATTTAGAGGATGATGAACGGACGAAGAGAAAGGTGATGGTTGAAGTGGAAATGAGATGTTGGTAGAGGAGGAGAAGCCCAATTGGCATTTGGATTCTGATGTCAAGTTGGGATCAGAGCATTTTAAGTATTTTGAGCAACACGTTAAAAAATGTCATAGACAATAATGTCGAGATTGTATTATTGTTTTGAGTGTTACAACATGCAAGATATAGTTCCAAAGATAATAAAATGTATTTCAATCTTGGATATGTTAATTGCTTGAGTATTCGGCACTGATTGTTAAAGGGCAAGTGATAACTGGAATTTTTTACACTCTCGCATTGAGTGTATCACTAGACTTCAAACAACTAAGCAAGAGTGTGTTCGAAACTTGTGAAAAAAATAATGGTAATAAATTGACGAGTACTTGGACAATTTTCTCCCCATAAATCTTGGACGAAAAGTGAAACAAAAAAAAATAAAAAATAAAAAAAGAAATAAAGAAAGAAAGAAAAGAAAAGAAAAATTGTAAGAGAAGATCCTAAAATGCCGTTCTTTCCATATTTGGGGAAATACACTTAGAGAGCCTTTTTGGGTAGGATAAAGATATTTATACAAAATCTTGTTGACAAAATGGTGTACTCACTCTCACAAAATTAACGGATTTCACGTGAATTTAAAATGTCGATTTGTGCCCCTACTGTGAGTAGTGAATAAGGGAGTTTGTAAAAAACGTTTGTATATGCAATGAGATCCTTTTGGTATTTTTTAGAAAGCCCCTATTTTTGTAATTTTAAGTGTTTTTATAACATTAAGGGAGTGTTATAATCTTTTAAAATTCTTCGTAATTTTGGACACCCGATAAAACTGAAAAATTAAAACTCCGTTTCTATTTGTGCTCTTTGACTTCTAAATGTAAATTTTCTCTCCTCCCTGTGCGTGTATCTGTGTGTAAATCGAATGTGAGCACACGCGTATGCATGCGAAGAGAAGTTTGATTATCTTGAATTTCCCATGTTAGGATTTGTCATTTATGATTCCGTTGATAGTTGCATGCCAGTTGTTTGATTTTTTGTCTACTCAACGACTGTTTAATTTCTCGTTAACGTTTACTAGTAAATCTTGAATCTAATAGCAAACTTAGTGGACTCCATTAAATGCTGTCTTAGATTTCTGTTTTTCATAATCTTGATTGTTTTTCCTTTCTTGCTGCCTGTTGATTAAGTGAAATTACTCTGTGGCGTAATGATTTTAGTCTGGCCCTGTAGTTTTTGCTTCATTTTCGTATAATTGCTACAATTTCATTCTTAATTTCTGTTCAGTGAAAGGAGTCCACGTAATTGCTCCCAATTTCAGTGATTTACGTGTTCCCCCGTCTCTTGGACGGAAGAAAGAAGGAAAGTTACTGAGAGACTTCAACAGGTTCTGTCTTTTTGTCTTGAGATTTGACCAGAGTGTTTTGAGGAAGATTTTAGGTTGACTTATTCCAAGTGTGGAATAAAAAGACGTTCCTTTCGGTGTTATATAATAATTGGAAAAAGCCACTTTTCCCGAATTTTGGTGACAGCTCGGTTAAACGACCATCACATTGTGCATGGGTCTGCATGAATTAAAGAATGCCGATCCTCCCATGTGTTTGTGTTAGGTCATCCCCTATATCAACCCTTATCTTCGTGTAGCTTGGTCCATAATAATTTTGGTGATCATTCTATGAAGATGGGTTGCTTCATTTTTGTGAGCTCAACTCAATCTGGTTCATTAAGATTTTAAGTCCAAAACTGGTCCATTATTGATCCAATTTTAGATGGTTCTAGAAGAGATAATAACGTATTTTCGTACTTGATTAAATTCACGTCTTAATTGGATGCTTGACACCTGGAATGATTTGCACCATTGGATCCGTCTCTTGGGCTTATCTCATATAAAAGGCACTTGTATGCCTTTTAGGGTTGTAGTTGGTTTTGACTCTCCCTCTTCCGTCTTCGTGAAAACTCTCTTTGTGTGTTCATATTTTGGTCACTGTTTATATTTTGGTCATCAACTGTCTGATCTTGAGTGATTTCTTTGTGAGATTATTGTGTTCTGGAGAAGAGTATGGGAACACAATTCTTTGTGAGTGATTGCTGTAATAGAGAGTTTGAGGTAATTATGATTTCGTTGAACTCTCTCCTGTTTTTACACTATTCTCGATCTTTGTCCAGTTTTGGGGCTTTATAGTGAATTCGAGCAATATCCTTAGGGATGCTCAACAGGGATTAGGCGTTAAAAGTTGTCGTTGAACCTTCAAGGCTTTTGGCCGACAAATCTTGTGTTCTTGTTGTTTTGAGCATTTTCTTTACTATTTTTACGAAGCAAGCTCAAGTTAAAATGTCGATTTGTTTGTCCAAGACCAACACATTCTTTGTCGATGTTGTCTCTCCATGAAACAACAAATTCTTGTTGCCTTTCAAATTTCCTCCCGTTTCCATTGACTTTGAAAACCAAATACGCTGGAAAACGATTGGTATGCACTTCCAGTTCAGAGAATTCTGATCCAAAACCCGACAAGAATCATAGTCAGAGTCCTAGTTTGAAACCAAAAGGAAGAGCTCAGCGGGAGAAAACAGAATTTCCTCAAGATGACGATGAAAATTCTGGAAGGAAGTTCCTTAAAGTGATCCCTACGAAGCCCAAGCAGTTGAAGATTTTTGTGTGTGATTCGCTTGAACAGATTTTCGAATCAATGCGGCAGCAGAATTCCGAAAGATAAAGTTTACAATGACGTTGATTCCAATAGCAACAGTGGTGACGAGGATGATGACAGGGATGAAGAGAAATGTGATGATTGAAGAGGAAATGAGATGTTGGTAAAGGAGGATAATGCCAATTGGCCTCTGGATGCTGATGTCGGCTGGGGGGTCAAAGCAGCAGGGTATTTCAAGTAACATCCTATAAAAAATGTCGTAGGCGAAGATGGCACTGAAATTGACTGAGAGGGAGAGATTGATGACGGTTTAGTGAAGGAGATCAATTGTCTTAAGTGGGAGAGCTTTGCTTTCCATCCTAGACCACTAGTTGTTCTCGTTTTCGAAAGATACAACACGTTTGTAACAGTTCTTGAAAAGAAGGAATCTGTAAAACATGATGTAGTGCATTTGATCTATACTTGCCTAGATGTAATTTGAATCCGTCACTGATTTTAGGGCAAGCGATAACTGGAAAGCTTTGAAAGAGCTAGAAAAAGCAGCAAAGGTGTACTGGGAAACCAAGGATCGACTACCTCCTCGGGTATATGAATCTCCTTTTTTGACACCTTTCTTTTCTCGATTTATACCTGTTTATTATAATCCTATGTCTTTAATTTCCATTACTAGACCGTCAAGATAGATATAAACATTGTCAAGATAGATATAAGCATCGAGAGAGATTTGGCTCTCTTAAAATTAAAGAATGCCCACAAAATTTTGTTCGTACATGGAAACATGATATTGTATGTGGAGAAAGGTGAGGACTAATCTCCTTCATTGTTATATTATATGTACTCCCAATTGTTAGTTCCATTACTAATAAGTTCTTTACGATATGCAGAACCAAGAACGATTGACAAATTAGTGCATATTTTTTCTATCATCACCATCTTAAGTTCAATGACCATATCTTGTTGCATTGTGTCCTTATCTTGTACTCT